GGATCAAAATTGGCACGATCCAGCACGTCTTTTGAAACAAGCCAAGAACTGACGCGCCTCATGCCTAAACGAGCTGATGCAGAACCGATGTTTAGTTAACGTACTAACTCTCTAATTGCTACCCCCAAATTGGAGCGTTAAGCGCTGATAGACAACTGTCAAAAATTTTCATGGCCATACAATTTGTATGGGACATCCCACAATAACTCCGTGTCAACGGTAAGCAAATGGAATTTTCAATTTTGACAGCGCGTTATATGTTAAAGTTTGAATGAAAGGAGGACAAACTGATGAAAAAGAATAAGAAAATTCAAGAAAAGTTTGAAAAATAAATTGTATTTGGAAAATAAATTAGTAAATATTCACAGAAAAGTTTATTAAACTGAAGAGGCACACTTTTGCCGACCGATTAAGGGGTACACCTAGTGTGAAATTTCAAAAAAAATTGAGCTTTTTCATATTTCGGTAGACTACACCTTTAAAAATAACATATTTATATAAAATTTCAACTCGATATCTCAAATAATTTTTGAATTATCAATTTAAAGAGCAGCCGCTCGGCAGCTAAAGAGTCTCATTAGCTACGAGTGAAAACGATTATTTTATTTTTAAACGCGTTTTTCTCGAAACTGCATTTTCCGAATTTGCTGCAGTGATTACTCAAAAGCAAATGATTCGATCACTATCGAACTTTTTTAACTCTTTCTATATATAGTTTTCCGTACAATGACCTATCGATTTCTGATTAGATCAAAAAATCGAATTTTGGCTGGCCAAAATTGACCAAAATTTTGGGTAAAATTCGATTATATCTTTAAAAACGCCGCCATATTGACAATTTTTGATTTTTTATCGCAGGTCATTGTACAGACAATATTATCTCATCGAGAATTTTTTTTTTTGGATTTCATCTACGGAGAAGGCGGGAATCACTGCAGCAGTAAAGGATCTTCTTTTCGCGCCGTTGGAGATCGACTGTAACTTAAAAAATATTTAATTATTTTCTTCAAAAATTTCACTGTGTATTCTTGAAGCATGCGTTAATATATTCTTAAAATTTTTAAATAATTGATAAAGTATTTTTTTAATTAAAATTCCCGAAAATCACCTTTTTTGAGGCCATTACACTAGGTGTGCCCCTTAAGTTCGTATTATCTTGTTTGAAATAAATGCCATTAATTTATTAAATGTTCTTAAAGTAATATGAACTTGAGGAGAAAAAGAAAACGCCAAAACGTTGAGGCTCTTATTTTGGGATAGCGCGCGTTGCCACTCATTGGCGTCAAAAAGAGGCTCTGTATCAGTCGTAGATTAAAGTTTTCAATATAATAGAATCATCATAAGCCTTTTCTAAGAGTCGCAACGATTCCGCACATGAAATTTGAAGTTTGGTTCGAAATACTAACTTTGATGCAAATTCTGTCGTTAAAATATTTCTTTCCATTGAAAAAATCGCAAAACACTACTGATTTCGCCTGATTTGAATAGCTGCTGCAGACAAACTGGTTGACAGATCGCGCTTCTTTTTAGTTAACCTCTCGGGTGTTGCGGAGCCTTAAGACTGTTGGATTTAAAATTTTTATATTAACCTAGTGATCGAGTCCTTACGAACCACCCACTTCTTTCCACCGGTTACTGCGATCGCTCTTACATTCAACACAACATATTCAACTTTCGACACATTACAACAATAAAACCATTTCTATTCTTAATAACAACTCATCCGAAAGAGAGGCACTTTCCCTGAAACTTTGTCTTTTTTCCAATGGCTATGCTCGGCTTCAGTTTACATAGCTGTAAAAGTTTTGAAGAAATATCCAATTCAGGCACTGTCGAATAGAGGCATATCCTTTATGGACAAGTGAAGGTAGCTTTAAGATTGACCAAGAGAAGGTGTGTGTTGATTCCTCCAAGATTTGACACAAAATGAAAATATATTCAGTGGGAATATATCAAGCTTGAAGACAAATTTAAAGACAAAATTGGGCAGACTAGAAAAATTTTTCCTAGTGGAATACATGAAAATGCTTCGGTGTGGAAACCGTGCGTAATTTAAAAAAATTTACACTGTTTGACCGATTTTTAAACTTCACGGATTACCCCGCATTTCGAGACCTATATTTTTCGACTTCAAATACATCTCGCTTCCCTGTTAAACTCGCGTTTACTCTCCACATGACGCTCACAAGTTTCGTTGGTTGGTAGACATTCTGCTTCCTCTCCTCTGTGAACTGGCAATTCTCTTCATACCATCTCTAATTTTCATCCTCCGAAAAGTCAATAACTTTGTTTGCATCACTACGGGACTGAGCTCGAAACTCCGTCCTGCATATCCCCTTATATCGAGATGCTGTTGAATGCTCTCAGAGAGCAGTAGTACATGTTGAGTGGAGAATAATTTTGCTGCCTTTCCTGTTTGCTGGTTTTGAGCATCAAATAACTGACGGGCGTTTTTTAGTGCACAGAAAAGACTGGTAGAAGTATTTTTTTATTTGTTGCTATAAGACAGTGGTCCGAATCAAGTCATATTTTAGTTTTTCTCTCCCGAGACTGGTAGGAATTTTAATGTTATCTATATCTACAGATAAATATATTTCAAGACCCGTAGAAGTCGATTAGCCTTAGAAAAGTTGGAGATGTTTCCGACCATTGTACCAAAGTTTTCTTCTGCTCACTCTGATGTAAAATATCCAAGTACAGCTGTGTTATCGGAAAGTTGGCGTATATCAGCGATATAGGGAAGAGCTGTGCTTTAGTGCGGTTTCTGGCGAAATGTCTGTCCACCATGATGACCGCTGTTAAACGACGTCTAAATTTCTCCCCCTACAATGCCAATACATTTCCTGGATGGCGATGAGCTCAGCCACACATTTTGTGAGGGCATCAACCAGCTGGGCAGCGGCATCTTCGCAAATACTGTACTGGACATTCCAGAGACATAACCTTATATTTTGGTCCTTAAAACCTTTGGCATCCGAGAATTTGTTATTATTTTCATTTAAACTTGTTTCAATTTGGTGGGTCCTGAGTCTAGCACTCAACCTCACTAAGCGAGTCATTAAGTGAAATTTGTAAAGTGAGCTCACAAAAAATAAAAATTTAAACTGAACTTTCTAACAGCGGTCGTCCCTCGGCACGGAATGTCAACCCCTCCAAGTATATTTCGGACATGAAATAAAGGCTCCTCATAAGAAAAAACCATCAGCAGTTCGGAGACGGCTTAGTATATACTGTTGGTCTCACAATTTGTTGAAAAAAATCACAAGACTCAAAACTACAAATTGGAGGAGGCCGAAAATCGCTTCAGCAGTTGAAAGCGCCAATTATATACATGCACCAAGGCCGCTGGTGAACAGATGCTGGAATTAGACTTCATGGAATCTAATGGATATTATTGACCTCAATAATAGCACAGTGAGTGAGTTCTGCTTTCTCCAAACTGGATAAAGCAGCGACGGATATCGGTCTGGTAGTGAAAAATTGCACGACGAAATATCTTCTGCCATCAAACAAACATTAAAGTCGTAGACAACTTCGTCTATCTTGGAACCACTATGATCAATAACAACAATATAAACATGCATTTAAATCCAGTGCTTAATTGCTATTGTCAACAGGTGCTACTTTGGATTAAGTAGGCAACTGAAAAGTAAAGTCATCTCTCGTCGAACGAAAACCAAACTCTACATGTCGCTCATTATTCTCGTTCTATTACGTCGCGCGGAGGCATAGAAGATGGCAAGATCTGATGAGTCGGCATTGGGAGTTTTCGAGAGAAAGGTTTTGCTTAAAATTAATGTACATGTACGAGTTGGTAATGGCGAATACCGCAGCCGATGGAGGAGAGGAAGACCTCCACTGAGTTGGAAATATCTGGTAGAGAAGGTCTTGATGGTATATGGTATTTCCGATTGGCGGCAGAGACCGAAAAGAAGAATTGAATTGCGCAATATTGTTAAATCGGCTTTTATCGCGTAAACTGTGCATACGACAGTAAAGATAAAGAAGAAAGACCTTTAAGCCTTATATTATTTGTCGGCGTGACTCTAATAAGCCTCCACACTTTGTAGTCGTTACCCAAAGCTACACACGTGTTAGCGGCAGCAGTTCACACAAGACTTGCTCACGTTTTTAGGGTTCGTGAACAGAACAGGAGCAGGAGTTGCAACTGTAACGTCACAATCACAAGCAAGACATGAACTTACCGCAACTAAGCATCAAGTTTTTTTCAGAGAGGGAGAGAGAGAGAACACGTGATGCGAATAAAACGACCAAGTGTCAACATAAATTATTATACTTGTATAATTATTATTCTTATTTACCGCTAAACACATAAATCTGGCATTAAAAGCTTAAGGTAATCGCAAATATTGCTGTGTGAATGAGCAGAAGCAAAGCTGCTAAAAAGTTTTCACACAAAAAGTTCTACGTGAAAAGCAAATAAATAAACATAAATAATAAAATATAACAAAATATGTTGTAATAAGGGCGAAACTTCCAAAATAAAAAATTATTTGAGTTGGCCTTGTAACCGCCAACCATTATGGAAGACATAAGCTATCACGTGCTGCCTTGAATGTGTGAAAATGGTACAAAAAAAAAGAAAAAAGAATAGAAGAAAAAACTAATAAACTTCGTGTCGAGGACATGCCTATGTATATATGTATACATGTGAGTATGTGCAAAAACGTTTTGCAGAAATATCGAAAATTCGTTTTAATTAACTGTCTGCATGCACAAAACAGAGTAGAAAATAAGCCAGCACATGCACACGACAGTTGAAGCGGAGGGTTTTGATTGATAGGAAATAGTTTGCTTTGTTGTCAAGAGCACGCCTGGTACGCCGCACACATACCAGTACATCCTCATCTACATGTGTGTGCATGCGTGTGTTTGGCAATAAAAACCGCATTTCCAATCAAGGCTACACTTAGCCGTTGCCCTCCTTGCTGGCACTGGCGTGCTTTTGGGCAAGCAACAAGGAAAACACTGTGAGTTCATTTAATTTAAATTTTGGCCATGATAAAAGTTTTATTGGTGTCGGTTGATGTCATGGAATTTTAATACATTTTTCTTTGAATGTCCCAAAACAATATATTCACTTGTTCACTGAAGGTTTATTGGAGCTTTTTGCAAGCACCTTGCGCTATAAAAGCCATTTGGTGCATAAAAGAGACAATAAAACGCTTGACTTTGACATTTGGTAGACAGCCAATGCAACTCCCAGCTTCTCCTATTTTAATAGCATTTTTGTTTAATTCTCTTTTTGATTGTTTTCTTTATAGCGGATTTGAATGTACTCACCATCTGTATATTTATTCGTATTTTTGAAAGCCTAAACAAATAGATGACGTTGATTTGCATTCAAATTCGATTCATCCGAACACGTGTAGCTTCGCACTATGTATTGGCCTCTTCATCAATTCTATTGATTTTAATTCCTTGGAACATTTTCATTTGTTTGCATATATTTGTTGCCTCAGCTGGAGCCACAATGTTGTGGTCAGCAGACGACTCATATTGAGTGGATTTTAATTAAAGCAATTTTGAGACGATTTCAGTTTGATAACATTTTTTTTCGAATAAATTTTCAGTAGATTAAGTAATAATGTCGATGTGCATGACAACAAATTTTGTAGCAGTTCCTGCTTAGTTATAGAGTTTCAATAAAAAAATGTGCAGTTCTCTAAACTCCCCCGGTAATATTGCATTTGAATGGAGTAGGCTGTTTACAGTTTGTTTCTTGATCTGTGGCTTATTTTAAGTATCAATTCTCCACTTATATAACTGATGCATTAGATATTCAGCGGAAAAGTTGCGATTTACGAAATAGTCAAGCTTACGGGCAAAACAGCTCGCCGTTGGGAGATCAGTTTATAGAGCGAGCCCACCAAACCAGTTCGTCATGGGAAAAAACAACTCGCGTACGTTGCTCGTCCGGCGCGTTCTACTGAAAGTACTCGTATATGGATATGCTAACAGTCAAAGTATGCATCATCATCTACTATCTCACGCTCAGTTACATGACGATCCAATTCGATTAATGCTTTGATTTGGTCATCATCAACTTCATTTGGCCGACCTGAACGTGGCTCATCTTTAAGTGAAAAATCTCCAGAACGGAATTTGCGAAACCAATTTTGACCCTGTCTTCCTTTTAAGGCTTCATCACCATACACATCTCGTAACTTTTTAGCAACCTGCTCCGCGTTTTTTCCTTTACGGAAATAATAAAGTAAAATGTGACGAAAATGCTCCTTTGTGAGCTCCATATTAAAATTGACGCCAAACAAACAAATGTAAGCAAAATTTCGCGCACTTTTTTTTCTAAAGCAAGCTAAAAGTAACAGCTGATAACTGACAGAAGAAAGAATGCAAGTACAGAGTCACAAGCCGTTGAAAAAATTTGTCAACGCCGACTATATGAAAAATCCGTAATTACTTTTCGGGCAACCCAATATTTAAAAGCTGTCGGTTGACACTGAGTAAATTATACTCCAACTTAGATTTACGTTCAGGCATTAAGTGTAATTTGCCCTAAAAATAAGATACGTGTTTTTTACTTGTTTATTCCAAATATATTACATAGCATGAGCAATTCATAACACAGTCTCGTTCGTTCATAAGGCTCCCAGAGCAAAAATTTTTAAGACGGGAAAGCTCCAAATGATTTTTATCTGAATAACAACTCTAGATTTGCAGTCTTTGTAGTCTTCGTACTTCTTCGCTATTCTCTAGCAGGCTGATAGTTTGTGTGTTTGGATGCTTGTTTCGTTTCTCAATATAACTTCTACTGAACCCTTTTATTTCGTCTACAACCATATGTGTTTTTAGAACTTTAAGCAAATGAATATTTTTTGTGTACCATCCCAGCAGGGAAAAGGTGTACCAGTATGGAAAAATTGTAGTAAACTACTAGTATTTGAAGCCGAAATTGTTGCTAACTAGAATTAAACTAGTATTTAAAGGACAACAATACACTAGTGTGCCATAGACTAGAATTATACTAGTATTTTTTCTGTAAAATCTGGACTATTTTGCAAAAATTCTCGCACTTGAGATAGTATTTTGCCGACAAATTCAAACCACTTTTCCGTTTTGCAAAGAAGGAAAATTTACGAGTAACTAGAACTTCCGTCCATACATTATGACAAGTCTCTACAACAACAACAACACATTATTGTGACTTTTGATAATTTGTTCAATTACAAAAATGATGAACAGTTTTAAGTAAGCTTCAAATACATAACGCATTTTTTTTACTCGTATGATAAAGCCTGACCTCAGGCGAACTGATATGAACAACCCTGTGTTTTATTTGGTTTATAAAAACTGGTATTTAACTAGTATGAAGCTGATTTATAGACTGACAATTGACAGTTCGTAGGACATCGCAAAAATAACCGAATTTTTTGGATTTAAAATAAAGTACACATTATATTATCTTTGAAAGTTATTATTTATTCAAAATATGTTCCATTTGACTTAACACAACGTTTGGAACGATCAACCAGCGCATGCATAGATTTTTTTTATGTCATTTATAGAAATGTTCTTCAGTACCACGGTTACGGCTGCTTGAATGGCTGGGATATCATCATAAAATGCTCCCTTCATCTTGGTTTTCAGTTTTGGAAATAAAAAATAGTCACATGGTAATAGATCAGGCGAATACGGAGGATAGTCGATGAGAGAAATCTCTTTTTTTATTAAAGATGCGAGAGATTTTTTTGGTCGTAATTGAATTCATGTGGAACAAATCGCGCACAGATGCCTTTTTTCCCCAAATCTTCAGTTAAAATTCTCCAAATAGTGTTTTTACTCGTATTCAATTCCTCAGCCAACATTCTCGTAACAAAATTTGCATCGATACCAATGATTTCACGGACTTTTTCCACCAGTTCAGCACGATCACTAGTTTCTGGACGTCCTGCTCTAGGGTCGTCATTTAAATCCTCACGACCATTTTAAAATCGTGTAAACCACTTACGAACTTGCGTATGACTCATACAATCATCACAATAAACTTTTCTCATTAATTTTTTTTCAACACAAAATATTATATTCGCTCTCATTTTTTTTGCTGTCACTTTTTTTTAAAAAAGGATGAATGTATCTTTTTAATGTTGCAAATTTTCAATAGATGGCGCTGTACACGTATGTTGTATGATTTAAATATAAAGTTCGGTTATTTTTGGGACACAGCGTGTAGTTGGAAGATTAACTATTTATATATAATATATAAATTTGGCGCTTTGTAACCGCCGGAGCGATTTTCGGCCGAGCTCTTCCTCCAGTTTATGGGTTTTGCGTCTTGATATTTTTTTCAACAAATGGAGAGACCAACAGATGTATGGTTTCAGCAAGACGACCCTACTTGTTATGCAGCCAAAGTAGTAATCGAAATGACGCTGTTAACAGTCCGCCTCACAGTTGCAATTTAGCTACGATTGTCAAACATCAAGAGCCAATTCGTGACTTTAAACTATTGAGCATTTGAAGTTGAAGTTGTCATTGTAACATTACATTGCATAGGGTGCCACATAATCGAAATTGTGGGGAAAAATTTGGTGGAAAGGCAGAACTTGTGGAATACTTTAAGGAATGCTAGGGCGTTTCAATAAATGGAAAATCATTCAAAATATAATATTTATCTCTCCTTTTCATAACAATTTTAAAATGTAAGCTTTTCGTCGCCCTTACGTTTTATACATTTATTTCCTTGGGTTTGAATATCAACTGGCTTGGCGGTACTACTATACTTAATTATGAAAATTTTCCAGAGGAATGACTCGTTCTCTGCTGACTCATTTCTCTATTATGAATACCAGCAACTGTATGTTGCAAGTTGAATAAGTGTTTTGAAGTGTTTTCTTACAGAGGGATTAAGATAGGCTAGATTATTTCAAGGTGATGTAGTCGGCTCGTGTGAAGCTAGCACTTTTTGAATTGTTTAATAGATTTAAAACTTTTTCTAGTTCTCTAAAGAGCGAAACTCTAAGATTTCTAAGACGTGTTCAATATAAGACCATTTTCTCACTTATGCCTGTCTCCCTAAATTTTCTATATCAGTTACTGCTTCTAAAGATCATCATCCTCGCTTGTAATGATAGTATGTTGCCTCCTGTGAGTGGTTGCTTTACAGACCGCACAAGCAAAGTGTGGATGTGTTTGGTTCAGTCTGGAAAGGAATTTCATCTCACCTTAATTCGTCCTCCGGCTATGTCTAAAGTTTCGTATTTCACACAATAATTTCATCCTAAACTATTAAAAACTTCAGTTTCTCCGAAAAATTTGCTGCTTGATTTTTTAGATACTTATCAGAAAAATATACTTCAGAACCACCGTCTTATTATGAATTCGATGACAGGAGAGTAGTTAGCACTGTGCACTGTGTACTGGGCTTTGGATCACTGGCACATTTCCTGGACAAACCAACGTTCGATGTATTAATAAAATCTTTATTCTTTATTTTCAAATTATTATACAACAGTCTCATGACTTTGAGTGAATATAATAATATAATGAATTTGGTAAATGAAAAATGAAAATAAATGTGCGTTGAAAGCAGAAAATAGTTTTTTTCACCGTTGTGTAAAAAGTTACGATCCGTCGCAGACAGATTTTATTAACGCCTGTGTTGCTTTAGCTTTATTTGCATAATTAAAAGGCGTTTCGAAATGAGAGTAGAGTGTTATTAAGTGCATACGAAAAAAGAATGTTCGCGCAGGCAGCGAAGTGGTGTTGACGTTTCTACTTTGACTTCATTGTCCTTGTGGTTATATTAAATTGGACTTTGCATTTTAATTCTTTTTTGCCTTAATAACTATACATCGCCAGCTAAAGAGTAATTGTCTGTCGAGTGAATTTTTAATTTGGGATTTAGATTAATTTTATTATAATTATTAAATTTTCGAAGCGAGTTTATTCGGAAAAATAAATTAGTATTTCATATCTCAAAAAATATCGTTAATTTTTTAATAGAAATAAGTAATAGTTATATTATTTATAATTATATTATAATAGATTATTTATTAAATTTATATACTTTGTATTAAATTTATATACTTTTTCTGCTTATATTTGCACTGCAATACTAATAAAGCTTTGGTGGCTACACCATACTTCCGTTGCTTTAGTGCTTCCGCTGGGAAGACCTTCAATCAAGTTTATCTACATTAACAAACAAGTTAGTTAATATTTTTATAATAAAAAAATCTAAGTTTAATATAATATTTTAGTTGTTTATTCTAAGCACATTAAAAACCTTATTATATATATTTTTCGACGCCTTGTTGGCAACATTTTCATATTATAAAATAGCTTCTTCTGTATGGTGACGCCCCTTGGCAGGAAATCTAGGCTCGGGCGTATTTTTGGTTAGCAAAGCGAATATGAAAAAAATATTCGCGAATTTTTGTGTATTTTGGAACGAAATTTTTCTTTATCAAGGATTAATTTTAATCCAGAATCTTGAATTTTTTCGGGTATCTTCATAATGATAACAGTATGGAACATCTGTTTGTTATAGGCGATGAACTTGAACTATTTTTCAGACTCAGTCCGGTCGGCTAACTTTTGATCATTAGCTGTGTTTACGCGAGAAGCGTAAATCCTTGCATAACTTTGGGC